AAACAAGGGCAAACACCACACTCGTTGAATGAACTTAACAAAGCGCAAACAAAAACAAGTACCATACATGAAAGACCTATAAAGCAACACAACACTCCCCTTTTCTTTGCGGGTGCCCACCCTTTCGTGTCCAGTCTCCAGAGAGGGCACAACGAAACCATTGCTGGAAGAGCCCCCGCAATCACAAAGACACCTTATGATTCTGTTTCATACGTTGCCCCTAAAATATGGAATGTGTATTGAAAGGGGAACCCACAAAATATGGTTCCCTTACCGACCTTGAGGGTACCAACTCCAAAAACCGCAAACCCATATTTAGCTAACCCCTCTAGACGAAAACCGCTCTGGCTTCCCTCTCTCAAAGGGAAACCAAAAGGAACACCGAAGCAATTTGGGGGGGGTTCCTCAACAAAAGACGACAAAAAAAAAAAAACATTCGTTCCTCAAGCTGGTTCAGACAGGTTCTTATGGTTTGGTTTGGTTGGAGCACCTCTTGGTTTGGTCAGCGTCCTCCTTGGGTTGGACCCCCCCCCGGGTTTGGGGACCCCGCGCGACCGGCTCTTGGTCGGAGACCCCCCAAAGTTTTGGTTGGACGTCCCACTCGGCCCCGACGTCCCCGAAGTCCGAGGCTCACTCCCCACAGGGGCAGGGCTCCGGGACCTTCTCCATGTGCATGCCGCAGCAGCAGGGCGCGCAGCACCGGGAGGCCAAGGCGAAGAACCACACGGCCACCACGCCTGGGCTGGGCTTGTGGATGGGTGTGGGTTTTGGAGTCGCCTCTGGATGGGCTGGGATTTTGGGTGGCTTGGGTTTGGATGGATAAGTTTGGATGAATTTGGTGGACGGCGTGGATTTATTGTTGGGTTTGGAGTCGCCTCTGGATGGGCTGGGAGTTGGGGTGGCTTGGGTTTGGATGGGTTTGAGTGAACTTGCATTTGGTGGTTTTGGGTGGTTTGGGTTTGGATAAATTTAGATGAATCTAGAGATTAAGTTTGGATGGGGTGGTCTCACATTGGAGATTGGTACGGGTGGATGGAAATGGGGGGGTTCCCGTGGTCTACCGATCAGCCGTTCTGAAAGGGAGACGTGAATGGGTGTTGTTGCGCATGGGGAAAGGAACTCCTTCTGGGGCTTCGGCGTCAACTTGTCGCCGGACGGGTTCGGAAATCAGGAGCTGGGCTTCACGGTGGCCCGTCCCTTCGAACAAAACGCCGCTCAAAGGAACCGAAGCCCCCGGCCCCCGAACCGGGGAGTTGCCCTCGAGGCTTGGGGTTTTCCGGAAATGGGGCCGGGGCTTCCCCCTGACAAGCCTTGATGTTTCAAAGGGTTTGATCAGAGGTCAAAATACCTGACGCTCCCTTCCATTTCCTTGGGGTTGGGATCCATGGTGCCTTAAAAGCGTGCATGTCCAAAGGCGAAGCGTAGGAAACCGAAGCGCCTCAGAAAGCTCAGAAGGAACCTTCTGAGCACGTGCCTGCGCTGAGGGGCCAACAGGGCACCTTGCCCAGTTCCCTTGAAGAAACCTTGGCTTTTGCATATCCAGACATGAAAAAGGTGCCTTTGACCCAAGGGCAGCGCCTTGATAGAGGGGGACAGCCAAGTCTTCATTTCGAGTCACACAAGTGGAAACATCCAGGGGTCACCAGGCGCCCTCCGTGCAGCACTTTAAAAACATTGGTGGGTCCCAGATGTGGCTGTTGCCAGGCAGCAAAGTGTGGTCATGGCAGTGATGATGCGCAGCCTGGGGAAAGACTGGACGACCCTCATGAGATAAGGGGGAGAAGTTGGGTATGCGTGAAAATATCCCCCCCACCCCAAAACAAGAACAATATGTGGTGCTCCTTTTGGCCTACGTGTTCAACGCCGCAAAAGTGATACCTCAAAACACACAAACCCCGAGAATCATCATGATAACTCCGGCAAATTCGAAAGTGAAACCTGCAGCTTGGGTGAAACGGAGCACCAACGGAAAGGGCACATCGGATATCTTTGTTAGTTCCAAAAGGACACGCTCCTTTCTCGAGAGAAAAACAGAGAGAGGGAGGGGAGAGAGAGACAGAGAAGGGGAGAGAGAGAAAGAGAGAGAGAGAGAGAGAGAGAAAGAGAGAGAGACAGCGAGAGAGAGAGAGAGAGACACAGAGAGAGAGAGAGAGAGAGACAGAGAGAGAGAGAGAGAGAGAAAGCGAAAATGAGGGAGAGAGAGAGAGAGAGAGAGAAAGAAAGAGAGATGGAGAGCGACAGAGAGAGGCAACGAGAAGAGAGCGGGAGAGAGAAAGACAGAGATAGAGATAGAGAGAGAGAGAAAGAAAGATGGAGAGCGACAGAGAGAGGCAAAGAGAGCGGGAGAGAGAAAGACAGAGATAGAGAGAGAGAGAGAGAAAGAGAGAGAGAAAGAAAGAAAGATAGAGAGCGACAGAGAGAGGCAAAGAGAGCGGGAGAGAGAAAGACAGAGAGAGAGAGAGAGAAAGAGAGAGAGAAAGAAGGAGGGAGAGAGAGCGACAGAGAGAGGCAAAGAGAGCGGGAGAGAGAAAGACAGAGAGAGCGAGAGAGAGAGAGAGAGAAAAAGAGAGAGAGAAAGAAGGAGGGAGAGAGAGAGAGAGGAAGAGAAAGAGAGAGAAAGAGAGAGAGAGAGAAACAGAGAAAGACAGAGAGAGACAGAGAGAGACAGAGTGAGAGAGAGGGAGAGAGACAGAGAGAGAGAGAAAGAGAAAGACAGACAGACAGACAGAGAGAGAGAGAGAGAAGGAGAGAGAGAAGGAGAGAGAGAGGGAGAGGGCGAGACAAAATACGAGAGGGAGGGAGGGAGCATGAAAGAAAGGAAGGAAAGCAGGAAAGAAACAAAGAAACAAAAAAAAACACGAAAAAGAAAGGGATGCCAGTAGACAAACTGGGCAGCACATCCAGCTCGTCACCGTAGGGTATGCTCCTCTCGCTCTCCTGCGTGACGAGGCTCACGCCTCAGCTGGCTTTGGCAGGTCTTCCGAAAGGGGGAGCTGGGTCTAGGGGTGCGAAAACGCCTATTTTTCGGCCATGATCGAACATCACAACTATATACCAGTTGATTTGAAGGATGCCATTACAGCCCACGGTTTGGATGTATCGTTTCGGACCCTCGGGCCACAGAAAGCCGGCGCTACGTCTGAAGCAAGTTCTGCGCGCGCCTGTGCGGCGCTATCAGCGCATCAGCGGATGCAGCTCAATGGGCTACAAACGGGTGCAGACATGCGAGAATGTTGTGAAGGCACTCTTTTGCAGGTTTTGTGTGGTGGGTGGTTCCTTAAAGCATACAACTTACAACCTCTAAACCGGCTGATCTGTTCACTGGCCAACATGCCAAACTCCCCGCCAAACCCCTTGACGTACTTCCCGTCTTTTGCGAGGCGCAGAACTCGACGGCGAAGATCAAGGCGAACCAGGCGCAGGTCAAGACGTAGCCCATCTGGAGATTGGGACTCGACCCGATGGAGTCGCAGCCTCGAATTCAAACCGGCGAACCCGAAGCGGCGAACCCGAGATGCGATGCTGTCGGGACTTGGATCGTCGGAAGGCGGGCCAGTCTTGGCCGTCAGACCCCAGCCAAAATCAGAGGAGTCTCCTTGGGGATCCGCTTTGTGGGCTCCCGAAATCCCGCCAAAGCAACCTGAGAAGGGTCTCAAGAGATGCGTCAAGACTGGATCAGCAGCCTGTTCCTTTCGGAATCAACGTCACTCGCATCGCCCCTTGCCAGACATTCCACCGTTCAAATACAGGGGATGTCCCTTTGATTTGGGCCCTTTGATTCGGGGAATCTCCATTTCGTTCTTTCAAGGAACACCAAAAAAGTGTTCGACAAACAAAAAACACGGCACATGCAGAAAGACCCGACTCCGCCGAGAGACATGGCGGCGTGCACATGGGTTTCTGGCCCCGCCCGCCGCGGAGCCCATGCGCAGTCGCTAAGAGCCGAAGCGGTTTCCGCGGAGCAGCGGACTCCATAAGTTGAAGCGTCAACGCGTTTGCGTCAAGAAGGGACACTGAAGTGTTTGAAGGATCTTGCCACGGTCCAAAGGTTCAGCTTGCTGCACAGAAGCCATCTTGTAAATTACGCGCCCACTGTCTTCACGGGAAGAGTATACTTGCAGGCGTGGTCGCTCATACTGCCGAGCTTGCGCTATCAATTGTCAGCTGGAAGAGGAAGTATGAAGCGCTCCTTTCGAATAAGCAAACACAACTCTGCCGCTGCCAAAGTACCTCGCAACTCAGCAAGTTGGATTGAGTCAATTCAGCCTCGCAGAAACAATGAAGATGCCAACGTTTAGCTAGATTGACTCAGCACTGTAATGGTTTCTGTCTGCCTGACAGAAGACTCCGGTGTGGGGATCGAAATCGCGAGATGCGTTGCTCGACATAATAAATTATGAAAGAGTTCAACTCGCTGATATTGCTGAAGCTAGCCATCATTAGATGAACAAACCCTAGGCTTGAATGAGACCTTCACAAGCAACGCCTCGCGTGCATCCTGGCTCTTCCTGCACTTATCCGGCTGAAGCCTCTTGCACGGTGCAGATGACGAACACTCTCCAGCCTCTCTCACGAGCTATGCTCAAGGATCTTTCTGAATGTGGCGCAGTCTCATGCGACAGAAAACTCTCTGTGCTACGGAAACGTTGCTGGGGGGACATGCTCGGGCTTCCCTACCTCTGGTGGTGGCCCAGAAGAATCACCCCGGCAGATCTTTCTCTTTCTCTCTCTCTCTCTCTCTCTCTTGAATGCTTTATATCCTCAAAAGGCTGATGCATAGGCCAAGCTCGTTTCTGCGTCGTCCCTCCGCATGGTGGGCCGGGCTTACTTGTGCGCTCCCTCGAACTAGTGTGGACCGAGTTCTCTGCCCAAATAAGCTCCACCACGACTTGATATGGAACCCAAAGAAGGGCTCCTCAAAAAGCGCGGGGGCCTTCTGGGCTCCATGCCAATCTGCAGGGGAGCAAGTTGAACCGCCGACACCTTGCTGGGGCCCAGGCCCCAGTCATCCTCCTCATCGATGTAGGCTGTGATGGTCTGAGTCTTGCCCTTGTCTGCCACCTGGGACCGCACCCTCAGCGTCCCAGTCAGGCCCCTCCACCTGTGAAAGATCACCGGTTTGAACCAGGTAGGAGCATTCCCTCATGCTCGCATGGCACGGAAGCAAAAACGTCCCCAACTCTCAAGCCCGAACCCGACTCAGATATTATTGTAACTATAGCTGGACCCAAACCCAACAGTTTGAGCGCGCAACACACATTGCCCAAACAAATCCAGTGAGCCAGTGAGCATCGGCGCAGGCGTGGGGCTTGCCCCCTTCAAACAGGCTCAGTGCAGGCTCGCAAAGGTTCTATGACAATCCATCACTGGAGCACGTGGACTCGCTGGAATTCCGGCGCAAACAACATGATGGTCCTGAGTATAATAAATCACAACCTCCGATGCAGGAGCCAAAAAAGATCTGTCCAGAGCTGCGCCTGGTTGACGTGCTTGCCCTCCCGCCATGTCATATGCCCTTCTAAAGGAAAGCCAACAGCGCGCTTGAGCTCAACGCTTAAGCCCAACAACTTGTGTGGAAGAAAATCCAGCGACGCATGTTTCGTCTTGGACACGCTGCAAGAGCCCCGCCCTCATCGACAACAAGAAGCAACCAGGATGTGGAGAAAAGGAACACGACAAGAAACACCGGCAGCCAACTGTGGAAATTACAAACAAACATGCAAACTACAAAGCAAATCAAATCAAGCCAGCCAGCCCTAAGAAAACAAGTAATACGCGATCCACCTGCCGCCCTCTCCCCCCGCACCTGGAAGGTCTTCTTCTCGGTTTGCCAGCCGCGGCTCCAACCTGGTTTCACTTCCAAACGACATGAAACAGATCGTCCACCTTGCTTTGCAGGCCACCTTTGTCTGGGGTAAGCCCCAAAAATAGGCGTTGGCGTACAGTGTTGGAGTGCGCCTCTTTGGGGGTGGTCTGAAGAGAAACCCTTCTTGAGGCTGGTCCCAACCTGGTTTTGAGGGGTACCTCAATTTGAGTTGTCCTGGGGCACCCTTTGCCGATCTTCACGAACTTTCTGGGGGGTTGTTTTGAAGGGAAGGTCAAGGGAGACCGAAGCCAATGTTTGGGGCTTCACCCATATTTAACAAGGAACACATTAGTCATCCCCTGGTCGCATTAAAACTGCTTGCCTAAACAAGACACACCCAACAATGATCAGGTGGAGAAAATGATACTCCGGCTTTCATTTGCTTTAGAGGCTCGTTTGAGGGAAACAAGGAGGTTGCCCTCTTTTCTATCATGGGAGTGGAAGATCGCACGGGCTTTTGAAGAGAATCATAAAAAAAGAGCTGCCAACTTTCCTGGTTGTTGGAAAGAGGATGACCGAAACCAAACCGCTAGCTTTCCGCTTAGCAACACTGAACATTGTGTAAAACTAGCATGTTTGGACAATAACACACAGAAATCTGCGGTGTGGATCAATAAGTCTTTGGAAGAACATGGTCGAATAACCCCGCCAAAGGCTCAACGTTCTTCTGCCCATACGGGTTGCATCTTCAACCAAAAGGCTGAAGGGATACAAGCATAGGTGTCCAAGAGGAAAAATAGATGGCCCTGGTAAATCGACCTAACCCCATCGAAACCAGTGGAACCCATCCATTTTTACCCCAACCAACCCAAAAAGGACACCAATGGATACAGGCGAGATCAATGAGCAGCTGTCCAGCGAGCCAGCCCAAGCCTCCCCAGCCCCGAATGCCTCGCTTCGCGAAGTCGCTGTCCTCTTCGCAGCGGTAGCCTGGCGACGGCAGTCGGCTGGGATCTGGGCGAACTACTTCCCAGACCTCCAGTAGCCATGGGGGAAAAGAGGCCACGTTTTTTTTTTTTCTGGGCTGTCCTCAGATGGAAATCCACACTAAACACTAAAAAGCTAAAAAGCTAAAAAGCTAAAAAGCTAAAAAGCTAAAAAGCTAAAAAGCTAAGGGGATAGCTGGGAGCCACCAAGTTTTGGTTGGTTGATCTCCATTGGCCCCTCCAAAGAAAAGTCGAAAGGACCCAAATGAAGCAACCCATTGGAGGTCTGGGACTATAAGTCTCAAATCGGAATAAGCGAAGCCTGGGCCCTTTGTCGGTGAGCTCGTTTCACCCAGCTACTTATAACTTGCCCAGATCAATTGTCACCCATCTGGCCGGGATCCCTCAGTTCTTGTGCTTCAGAGACAGGAAAGGGTAGCCGATAGGTAGGGCAACTATCCATCTTAACATTCTTAAAGCCGGTGCTTGTGGATCTGAATGATTTGGGGTGAGTCATGATCCTCTTGAGGTCTTGTCGGCTTCCGGGTCCCGGACCTGTCCAAAGGTTTCTTCTGCAAACCACCCCTTTGATCGTCATGTTCACCAACATGAGGGGAAACCTTCATGCCCGAGGTCGCAATTCCGCCAGTCTTCCATGGCCTGGGTGTTGCAACTAAGCTTGTCTCCGTCCCGTCAACAAACGCTGACTCTGGGGGATTTTCGTTTGAAAAGCAGCAGATAGGAGTCCCAAGAAACCCAAACAATTGCTCTTGATCTTTGTCCCATTCAAAGTAGCCTCCTCTATTCTCCTTTCAAACAAGACAAACTTTCTTGTCCGGACTGCCAACCCCCGTCTATGCGGAATGACACCTACCTGCTTGAAGTGCTTTGGGGTCGAGTCCCTTGGGTGTGGCTCAGAATTAAACAGCTGGGGTTGCGCAGGTTTGGTCTACCTTTCCATAGGTTCCATCTTGGACCCCTAATTTTTGAGCCACACCCACTTGCGGAGCTTACTTGTTGTTTTTCTGCATTTCCTATCTTTAGGTATCCCCAACGGGGGGGGGGGGTACCTGTAGCTATAAGTGTCGGGATCTGTACGTAGAGATTTCAGCCCAAACTGCAACCAGTTGCTGTGCCTCACTGGCCCTGCTTGGTTTACTGTCCCAGCAACACACACATGGAGGTGCACAGAAATCTTTTGCAAAACGACATTTCCTTTTAGAATGGCGGTCTGCGCGCTTCTATGTTTGTTGGTGGCGGTGGCGGGGCGCCTGTCATCTGCACGACATCCTCGAGCCAGAATTGCTGCACCTCGGTGGGCCGCTTGCCGCTTTCTTTGGGGGGTTCGGTTCGGCTTCAGGGCTGCGGGGGACTTTTGAGGAAACCGTTCGGATTTTCGGGCTTTCCTCTGAAAAGCGTGCCCGTGGAACCTGGATTTACTTGATCTATAAACATCATGGCCCCCCAATGTTATGCTTCTAAACCACCAGAAAGGGGAAATATGGGGAACCCTTCCGCCCGGGCCAGCATGGAACCTGCGTCGGATCAATCGCTGAGCTCCCCAGTGATTCTCCAGAGGGCAAAGGAAGGCGGCAGAGGTAAAGTCTTCTGCAAAGTTGGCGGTGATTTCAGCTCGGCTTGCTTCTAAAACGAGGGCAGTTTTGAACACATCCACTGGCAACTTGGAGCATGAAAATAAATATCCCAGAAGCCCATACCAGCTGCTTGGAAGTGTTCGTGTCTGGTCAGAAACGGAACCAATTGAGACTAATAGGAAGAAGAGTGGAACCCACTTCACTAAATAACAGCTGGACTGTTCTCCAAATGCCTCCAACAAATTCGTTCGGATCTTTGGCTGCGGCGCATTTTGCGCTGTTGCACTTTTGCCAAGACGAAGGCACAAAAACCGCATGGGTGGCTGTTTAAGCTCGCCAAGGAGGTTTCCCCCAAAGCAAGTCACCAGGCTTTCCGACTAAGGACCTCCCAAAACAAACCGCCCGGCGCTCGATCTCTTCGGAGACCCCGGGCAGGGAAGGTTCGGCCGGGGATGGAGAGCACCGGCACAGAGCTGGCGCCTAAGTCCGCGTCGCGTGCCGGAGATTCAGTCCATTGGAATCCCAATCTGACTGCGGATCTAAGCAGAACCTCTGGCTGATGTTTTAAATTGGAGGAATCCGGATCACTTTTGGGGGCATGGTGGGAGGGGCTTTGCACGCGTGGGTTCCCATCACTACCTCCGCCCGCCCACCATGGAACCTGACCGAAAGCCCCTGAACGTTAGGCTCTTGAAGGGGCCTTCTGTCAGGATCTGTGTTAGTGGAGGGTGTGCCCAATCATGGAGCTCTGGTTGCACCCCAGCTGAGCACGTTGAAATTTATGCGGCGGAACAAAAGGCCCTTGAGACAATAACACTCTTTCAACGCCCTCCCTCCTCCTGTACCGATTGCAAAGCAAATGCCCCATCCATCCGGAATGCCCCGTCAATGCTGTTGCGGCCACCTTCTGCCGGACGTCTGCCGTGCCGCCCGACCACCCGGGCCCCCGGGCTGCCAAAGTACCTCACCAGCTTCTCTGTCTCCAAAGTCGCCTCATGGCCGGCCCAGTTTTCTCCCGAAAACGTCAGGGGCCCACTGTCTATTTGTACCAACTACTCCAAGAAGGAGAAGAAAGCTCAAACGCATGAGGCCTAACCCATGAAGGGAAATCCCCTGGCGAGTCAAATCCACTGAAGGCACACCCTGCAGAGGCCCCGGACGCTCATGAGAACTAGCCGGAGGTCAGGGCGGCTGGAGCGGGTGATTTGGCCTCGGGATTTGAGGTCAGCCTGAAAGAAACAAATCAACAGTAGCCAACAGAACCAAAGAACCAAAACACTACAAAATAACAAACACAAACCAACCTGACTTGGAGTTCAATTGATCCATAAACTTGAACTTTGATTGAAAAACCTGGGGGAATGCCAAATCGGGTTGGGAAGGTAGGACTAACAACATACCTGCCTGCTGCTGGGGCGCCTGCCTATGACAGAAAGGGAACTCATATCATTTTATGGGAAACTGGTCTAATGTTCTGTGAGGTCTTTAATCCAGTACATTTTTTTAGAAAAAATGATCCAGATTGGAGCAAAAAGGGTAAAAAGTCTTAGTATAAAAGGCTTAATCACCAGACCCTCGACAGCCACAAGGCGCGTAAGGGAAATCTCTTGAGAGTAGAAGCGGATTTTGGGATTTCAATTGGGGGTACCTTTTCCCAGAGTGGTCTGGAGCCCATCTAAAATCGGACAAACCCTTATGAAACAGCCAGCGGTGTACAGCTGCCGTGTTCCCATCACGTTAGTGAGCCGAATTTCGGGTTGCGTTTTTTCTATGGTTGTTAAAGGGCACAATGGGCTCTGCTTTTAAATGCCAAACAGGCACCCAATCCAAATGGACCCTACCGGTTTTGCTTTCTTTGCGCTTTTGTGCGCAACACCAATAGGTTTTGGTGGAAAGATGCAATGGATTTTATGCTGTTCTTTTTGGCTGAAAAAGGTGCCTCCCTTCTGGATGGAGATAAACCCGGGAACCGCAACAAACAAACCCGGTTGCCTAGTGGCCCTGCTATAAGAAGGAAACACTTTCTGCTTTTGTGGGTGTCCCACCCAACAAAAGGGGAAGTGTGCCACTGAACATCTGAACATCTTCAAAACTCTAATTGTGCAGCCCATTTATCCTGGACGACCTTCAGAACGTCGGGTCCTGTTTCTGGGCTTAGATCTTGGTGTAAAAACGGGTGTTCTGCTCTGGGGGGGTCCAAATGCAATATGTTTCACAACGTCCCTTGCAAGAATCTTGCTGGTGCTCATCAGGGAATGCGTGAATGAACCAGTGGATTCCCTTAACGGAAACCATAGGGGATGGTTTATAGGGGGCGTTCCCTCATTCCCTGCTGAGCACCAGCAAGCAATAGACCACTTCGCAAACAGGGCATCGCGGGGCCCCAGCTTGTTTCACACGCAAGTGAGATCGCTTTCAACGATGAGGACGTGTTATTGATAGATGCCCCCCCTTAAGTGGGACACACCCGCCCTCAAAAGACAAATGACGCCCTATACTATATATATATATACACATACATATATATATATATATATGCAGAATGTATTATCCGCCGACCCCTTCTCCTGAAAGGGGGAGGCGCACGGGAAGGGTGGTTACAGCACAAGTCCAAGGTGGGTTGGTAAATGAGCATATCCGAAGATTCAACAGTATCAGCGTAAGAAATACCGTCATCGTAGCATCCTTTGCGCCTCAAAGATGTGTCTTTCTACACCTTTCAAGTGTGGGGTTAGAAAGCATTGGTGATGCAGAGGATGCTACGATGATAGTTATTTTCCGAGCTACTATTATCGTTGTCATCCTTATCCTTCTCCTATCTGATCAGATCTGTGTCATATACGTTTCAAGCGTGCTGTTAGACCCGGTTGGAGATGCAGAGGATGCGTAGTGATGACGATAATGATGACGATGATGACGACGATGATGATGACGATGATGATGATGATGATGATGACGATAATGACCACCATCATGGTGATGATGACATGGTCATGCAGAGGGTGCGTAGTCATCATTATCCTCATGACTGTTAGTGATGCAGAGGATGCACGCGTAGTCATCATTATCATCATGACTGTTGGTGATGCAGAGGATGCACGATGATGGTTATCATCGATGATGATGACCGTGATGATGTCGATGATGAGCGACGGCTTTATGATGAGGATCTGTTATCTTTTATCTTTTTCATTTACGATTCAAAAGTGCCGTTAGAGCCGATTGGAGATGCAGAGGATGCGTAGTCATCATTATCATCATGACTGTTGGTGATGCAGAGGATGTACGATGATGGTTATCATCGATGAGGGTGCACGATGATGGTTATCATCGATGATGATAACGGTGATGATGAGATTGGAGAAGCAGAGGGTGCGTAGTCCACGGTTAGGACCGATTGGGATGAGAGGAGGTTCTTGTGGTGGTTTGCGTAGTCATCATTTATCATTATGAATGGTTGGTGATGAAGAAGGATGCAGAGATGGTTATCATCGATGTTGAGACGTGATGATGACGATGATGAGGCGACGGTCTATGTATGAGGTCCTTATCTTTATTTCTTTTTATATTACGATTCAAATAGTCCGTTAGACCCGATTGGAGATGCAGAGGGTGCGTAGTCATCCTTATCATGATGACTGTTGGTGATGCAGAGGATGCACGATGATGGTTATCATCGATGAGGATGCACGATGATGGTTATCATCGATGATGATAACGGTGATGATGAGATTGGAGACGCAGAGGGTGCGTAGTCATCATTATCATCATGACTGTTGGTGATGCAGAGGATGCACGCGTAGTCATCATTATTATCATCATGACTGTTGGTGATGCAGAGGAAGCACGATGATGGTTATCATCGATGATGATGACCGTGATGATGACGATGATGAGCGACGGCTCTTTATGTTTTTCATATACGATTCAAAAGTCCCGTTAGACCCGATTGGAGATGCAGAGGGTGCGTAGTCATCATTATCATGATGACTGTTGGTGATGCAGAGGATGCACGATGATGGTTATCATCGGTGATGATAACGGTGATGATGAGATTGGAGATGCAGAGGGTGCGTAGTCATCATTATCATCATGACTGTTGGCGATGCAGAGGATGCACGCGTAGTCATCGTTATCATCATGACTGTTGGTGATGCAGAGGATGCACGATGATGGTTATCATCGATGATGATGACCGTGATGATGACGATGATGAGCGACGGCTATGATGAGGACCTTATCTTTATGTTTTTCATATACGATTCAAAAGTCTCGTTAGACCCGATTGGAGATGCAGAGGGTGCGTAGTCATCATTATCATGACGACTGTTGGTGATGCAGAGGATGCACGATGATGGTTATCATCGATGAGATTGGAGATGCAGAGGGTGCGTAGTCATCATTATCCTCATGACTGTTGGTGATGCAGAGCATGCACGCGTAGTCATCATTCTCATCATGACTGTTGGTGATGCAGAGGATGCACGATGATGGTTATCATCGATGATGATGACCGTGATGATGACGATGATGAGCGACGGCTATGATGAGGATCCTTATCTTTATGTTTAAAAAAAAACGATTCAAAAGTCCCGTTAGACCCGATTGGAGATGCAGAGGGTGCGTAGTCATCATTATCATGATGACTGTTGGTGATGCAGAGGATGCACGATGATGGTTATAATCGGTGATGATAACGGTGATGATGAGATTGGAGATGCAGAGGGTGCGTAGTCATCATTATCATCATGACTGTTGGTGATGCAGAGGATGCACGCGTAGTCATCATTATCATCATGACTGTGGGTGATGCAGAGGATGCACGATGATGGTTATCATCGATGATGATGACGTGATGATGTCGATGATGAGGGTGGGCACGGCCTCTTTAGGTTGTTTCATTATCGATTCCAAAAGTATCGTTTAGACTCTGATTGGGATGCGAGGTGTGGTAGTCACTGTTTATCATGATGTCTGTTGGTGTTGCAGAGGTTAATGCACGTGAAACGATAAGGATTCTCATCATAGCCGTTTCGTCATATGTCATCATCACGGTCATCATCATCGTGATAAACCCATCATCGTTGATCCTCTGCATCACCAACAGTCATGATGATAATGAAACAGTCATGATGATAATGATGACTACGCACCCTCTGCATCTCCAATCTCATCATCACCGTTATCATCACCGATGATAACCATTATGTTTTTTATATACGATTCAAATGGAGACGCAGAGGGTGCGTAGTCATCATTATCATCATGACTGTTGGTGATGCAGAGGATGCACGCGTAGTCATCATTATCATCATGACTGTTGGTGATGCAGAGGATGCACGATGATGGTTATCATCGATGATGATGACAGTGATGATGACGATGATGAGCGACGGCT